GTCTTTTGGAGCTTGAACCGTTTGGTTCCCATTGAAGTGCATTATATGGAGAAAAATCCTGGAATGTTTTCATCAAAAACCTTAATTTCTTTTCGACTGAAGAAAGAATGACATGGACATCTTGGATGACATGGGGGTGAGTAAATTATCAGCAAAAGTTTTTTCAAAAGTGAACTACTCATTATTGTTTATTTCGTAAATTTTAAAAGCAAGCAAAAGCTTTCAAATTTATATTGTTGACTTTTTGAAGAAACTATTTGATAATTTATCTGATCAAAAACAGGAACATTGTGAAATACTACCATTTCAAAATAACGGTTTTCCATTTAGACATTTTAAATTGTAATTTATTGACAAAGCTGGTGAAAATTCCAGCATACTCCAGTCTTCAGAGTCACATGATCCTTCAGATATCATGCTGAATGCACACACACTGTCTCAGGTTTTGCTTGTGAAATATAACACATGTTGTTTTGTGTGCAAGCGAGACAAGTTTTCACCATGCATTCCAAAAGTAGAACATCTCATAGCAGCTTCAGCATATTCCTCAGGAGAACAGAAGAGATGTTCGCAAGCTATTAGCATTGTAAGATCTTTCTGCCACAGCTATGTAAGCATAATAAGAGTGTGTGAAAATCAGGACAGAAATATTCATTCATGAATATGCACACATTAAAGAGAGGTTCTTATCTCACAGGAGTGAAATTAAGCCCATGACTGAAAATAGCCAATGCATATCAATCATGAGACTTTTTGGTGTATCACATTTAATTGATTGGAAAAGGGTTTTTTTTCCTTTCTAAACTCAAATTAGTCTTTCAAACATCTTAAAATATAAAACTGGCCCTTTTTAATTGTACGATAAGAGAGAAAATTTGTGTTGCTGACTGAGAATAACATTTTATTCCTGTTGTAAGTATGATCAATCAATCATAAATGCACTTAAAGCTGATGTGTGTAATCTTTTTAGCGTTAAATACTTCCTCCTATTGAATATGGAGAGACAGCTATAAGTAGGCCAACTTGTAAGTTTAATTTAGCTAAAAAGTGTAAACGCTGTATCTGTGGTGCTTTCAAAGCATTTCCTTTTTTTTGAGCATCCGACCACAACAATCCAGCCACAGTTGCTCAACCACTGGCGTGCGCTTAGGGGTGGGGTTATCTGTTTGCCTGACCAATGGCAGACAAGGGGGGTGTTTCGAAAAAAATGTATTGTTTCCATTTTATTTGGTGGTGCATGAAATGACACGCACTTCCCATATAAAGTACAACTTAAATTTTACTTCACAACTATGCCTGATATTGTACAAGATCAGATTTAACCATAACTGATATATTCTTTGACAACAGTCAAGTGTCACAAGCGCTTAAGGCAAACACTAGAGTTTAAAAGAGTACTAAACCGTTGCCTTTAGCATTTGGACAAGTAAAAGAGTGTTTTACATGTGAGGACTGTTTTGAGATGAATCCAACATGCTCTGGGAAACGGATGATGTTTGCTCTTTGAATGCTTTCTCGTCCTCTTTCATTCATAGTCCCTTTTTAAGTCTCAAGGACATTTACGCAATATAAATCCAGAGAGTTTTTCTCCCTTGCAGAATGCTTAATAAAGAGGTAAATTTATGTGCAATGCATATATTTATGAGTTGCTATAGGGCTTATACTTGATATCCCTTACAACCATGATTGATGCTGCATGCATTGCTGTGTCCTTGCAAGTAGATCTTGCATAACTTTTTATATATTTTTTAAATAAATATATAGACCCTTCTTTGTGAATAAGTAGGAATTGTATCTGTCCCCTATAGCTTCTTTTTAAGCATACTAAATAGTGTTCAAAGGGCTCCTTTGCTGGTTACATACATTACTGACTGACTACATAATGAAGTATTTCGAATAAAACTCATAAAGTGTCTCAGACCTCTGCTTCAATAGTAAGCATTAATCAGTTGAGACCACAAGCTGTAAAAATAGATTTAGCTATAACCAGGCCACACGGGATCAGCGCCCGCAGAACAAGATGTGCAGAGAATTAATTCATCCAGTGTTTTACGCCTGCGTGTTCATATTCAATATGATTTGATTATTATTACATTTTACAATGTTTAAATCCATTTTGCCAAATTCTACAGATTTTGTATGGGAAAAATGCTAATCAGAAAAAGTCACAAGACTATAGACTTCTATTTGAAAGTTTTAAAATGTTTTTGAAAGTCTCATTTGCTCACCAAGTCTACATTTATTTACATTTATTAAAAGTTTGCATTTATTAAAAGTTTACATTTATTAAAAGCACAGTAAAACTAATGTGATAAGATATCTTTACATGGCTTGGTCAAATTCTGATGTATTATTTCTTGATAACAGAGGCTGCTATGTATAACCAAAACACACAGTTGCCATGAAAAACAGAGCGTTGCCATGATGGACACAGTCCAGAGACGGAACAGACTGTTTTCTTTAGCGGAAGCAATACAATCATTTTTAAATCAGTAAACTCTTTTTTAAATGAATATTTTGTCAAATTATTGATTAATTTGGTATAGGTACACTGTAAAAAATGATCGTGATGTTAACAGTAAAACACTGTAAAAATGCTACAGTGAAAAACTGTTAATTGGTTAACAGAAAGTTTCCTTACTATATACGGTAAATAACTGTGATATATATAATGGTACATTTAATGTAGTTTTACTGTAAAATACTGTTAAATTTACAGTTTTTGAAGTGAAAAATGTAAATTGACTTTCCCACAATTCCCTGCGTGACACTTCACATTTAATGTATTTTAACTGTTTATTCATAATTTTCTACGTTTTTTTTTTCTTATCAGTTATGTTCATTAGGGTTTTATGTTACATTTAACATTGTTAAATTAATTCTTATTTCATTTTTAAAATTTCAACATGTTACCATGATGATGTTTAATGTTTGTGTGAATCACACTGTGCAGCTTCTATGTAGTCGTATGAACTCTCTTGTGGAAGAGCTGATAATGGTGAGCTTTGATCGGTCATTTGACTCTTATTATTGCTGTGATAGATGGCTGTCGGTGTATTGCAATTAAATAAAACAGATATTAATACTTCAAAATGTCAGTAAATTAACATTATATCAAATAATAAAATACGGTTTATTGCTGTTAAATTAAATACGGTAAAAGTCTGTAAAACCTAAAATGGTGCTACCGTACTTTTAACAGGAAAACTCTGGTAACCACAGCTGCCGGAGTTTTCCCGTAAATTTCCCGCCTCACTATACATTATCCCTTATTACAATTTAAAGGTTTCTATTTGAATATTATTTTAAAATGCGATTTATTTCTGTGGTGTCAAAGCTGAATTTTCAGCACCATAACTCCAGTCTTTAGTGTCACATGATCATTCAGAAATCATTTTTTAAAACATTTCTTATTAATGAAATGGTTGTGCTGCTTAATACTTTTGTGGTATATATTTCGTGACAACTTCATCGTGATATATATTTTTTGGTAGAAAATCAGATGAACAGTAGCCTGTTAATTTGAAATAGAATACTTTTGTAACAATTGTTTTTAATGAATATTTGCTGAATAAATGTAGTTTAAAAAACAGTGTCTGCGTAACGCATAACAAGTAATGCGAGTTACGTAATCAGTAGAGATGTGCCCAAGGCCTAAATCTGAATTCGGAAAGGCACAGAAAATGAGTAACGCGTTCTACTGGGCCCCTAAAAATTAGGCTTGCTGCGGTGGTTACATAACAGTGCATCAGATTTCACTTCTTATGTAAAGATAGTTAGGAGAGATGACTGACAGGGTGGGCGATTTGGTGTGAAACAGATCCTGAGCTTCATTGACCAATATCTTATCTTGTAAAATGTGTGATCAGTACCACCCTTTAAGTAAAATGAAAGTTAAAAGCGTGCGCATTCAGGCAACACATTGACAGCAGTTCCAAATTATATACAATATAATGAATTACCCAAATATAATTGCGAAAGAAAGCAAAAGCATATTTTTGTCACATTACCATGTCCCTTTTTAGGGGCTCCATAATGCGTAATTTGCTTTCCAAACATAGCATTTGTCTTCGGCCACATCCCTATGAACAAAATCGCTTACTTTTTTCAAATAAATAACAAAGTTAGACTAATTGTAAGCATGTATTTACTAATCTCATTTGCACAAAAACAGATTCAGTATTCTTCAAAATGAATAAAAACTGTTTTTTTACTCGCAAACATTACGCAAACCCGCAATAATTAAATAGGCTAAATAACACAAATATATTTTACTTATTTTTATCTAATTTCCATAAAAAGTAACTAAGTAATGCAATTAGTTCCTTTTGTAAAACAATATAGTAACACATTAATTTAAGTAACCTTTCCCCAGAGGTAAAAACTGTACATAAAACAAAGAATGTTGGAGTACGTTTAATTTAAAATTTTTCGTTTAATTCAGTGTCTTGTTGTTTCTTTGTTTCTTACTTATTTCCTATTTCTTTGACTTATTTCCGAGTGTAAATGGTTTTTAAGTAAATCCTACACCATTTTTGAACTGTACTAATTTATTTATAAAAAACAGACTGGGGAGTGTGTGGGAAACTTTTTTAAAACACTCAGTTTTGCACACAGTTCCATCAGGTGATTACACACTTCAGCTCTCAAGTTCATTTTTAAAATAACCTCTATCTTGCACGTATATCATTTAACAACCTTAAAGGTATCACGCTAACTATAATCTAGTGACATAGGCACTATGAACTCCCGATTTAATCTCCCAATTATGATGCCGCAATTGCAAAGAACTGTTAAATACTGTTCACACTGTTTGTGTAAAATGCAACTATTTCACACAGTGTTCACATACATTAAAAGTGTGAATTAAACAGAATAAAATATTCATTGGCACCCTGAAGTTTTATGTGCTATATGTCAACACACAAAGCCTCTGCAGGTCTTGCGAGACACATTCTGCATAATCTCACACTTTCTTTTCTTTCTTTTGAAAGGCTTACCTGGTATAAAACTCCCTTGGACAAGATCTTTGTATGCCCACCAACCATCGTGTAGCTTTGATGACACTGGCTGTGCTGCGGGAAAAGAAGAGATTCACACATCACTCACCCACGGCTCTTTGAAAATACAGTCACACCTGTAATAGACTTCAACCCCCCAAGGAGAAGAGTTTCTGCTGTCAAATGAGAGCATGAAGTTGTCTCTAATGATACAAGGCACATTTAAAAAGTCTTTTTGAGGCAAAACTCGATGACGCATTTTACAAAAAAGAAAAATGTAGCATGCAAATTTATAAAGTCAATATTTGCCAATTGATCCCCTTAATTGGAAGAAGAATAAAAAAAAAAAAAACGTGTGACTGACATGACGACAGATGCATCCTGGATGCTCTGCTCTGGGCCCTGTCGGAAAGTAGGTCACAGAGGCAGCAGACTCCAGCATTCTGAATTCACTCTGTTATCTCACATCACTATTCCCCTCACCTCTCTCCCTCTGGCTTCAGGTTGCAGCTTGCATCATATCCACTGCCAAGTCAAGCACTCGGGGCTGCACTTTAATACACCACGCCACAGCTCTACTCTCAAGCCAGGTTGCTTTGATGTGCCCGCCATGAACGGGGTTGGAGGATTGGAGTCCAATTTTCTTCCACCCCAATTTATTGACATCTGTATCTAAGATATGAGAAGCTTGTGCACTTATACTTATGTGGCTCGTATGAAGCTGCCATTTCTGAGGCTACAGTAGCATCGAGAGCCACAGATTTGCTGTAAGTGCAGATGCTGAGATCCATCTACCGAGAGATTTTCCAAACGCTGACACTCGATTGAGCCCGGCTACCCATATTTCCTCTCTGCTGTGTGTGGCTCCCTGTGAGATATTGAACTAAACATAAAAGGCTTGTATTATTTTACACCATACATTTTTTTTTTTTTTTTTTTTGTTTTTTAAACACCTGAGTCACTTTGATATTATTGGCTGGAATAAAGAAAATAATCCTCATGCATTTAACCCGGTGGCTTGATTTTGATTTTCCACACGCTCTCAGCCGTCGAATCACAGACTGACCTCGAATCACACGTCAAATTCCTCTCAAACAACACAGGCTTTTCTGTGTTACATATCTTGCTCTTTGAAGATCTTAATTTTGTCTGTTTTTTTAGATGCCCATCCCCAGGAGGAAGATGATGTCAAACTCAGAATTGCCAAAACAAACTGGGTACTTCACTAGTGCAGAAGAACATAGAACACCAGAGACTCTAGATGAGCTTTTTACTCTGAGGATCACGCCTTACTGACAATCTTCATAATTTTTTTATTTGCCTTGTGTCCATTTTTAGTTTCTTGGCAGTGAAAATCATTTTATAGTGTTTAATATAACAATAATATGTTTTTACTCATAACAGAAAAATCCCATTTGAGAAAAGACATCTGAAAAGATATATAAGATCACATTTGATAAAGGATATCAAACATATCTGTTGGGTGATTTTTAAAAAGGTTTTGACACTTTTTAGCTGATTAGCCTGGCAGATCACCTGGACCACTTGAAGACCAACTCGGCTAGGCTGGGAAGCCATTTTAAACCACATTAAAATCCAGCAAACTATCTTAATCTGATTCTTCAAATCCCTGGTCATTCTTTTCTCAAAACCTATTTTGTTGATGTTGGTGGGTTTTTTTTTTTAGCAAGGAATACAAGAAAATATAGCTATGCAGGAAATTACATTTTTGGGAAGCAATTTTATCCCCTCCAAATCCCTGCTGTTCTATTTAAAATATTTTCATTTTTGAGATGACGACCTTGTTGGAAAAAAACTAACAAACAACAACAACAAAAAACACAAGCTAAAACCAGCCTATCTGGTTTCACATCTGGTCTCACAGTTTGGTCCAAACTGTTCTAGCCTACTGGTTTTAGAAGGTAGACCAACATAAACCATCATGATTTGGCTGGAAGACCATCTTAGCTAAAGCCTGCTTAAACCAAACTAGCATCTTTAGTCAGGCTTCAGAATTTTTTTTTTCTTCAGCAGGACGGACAGTCAGTAAAAATTCAGCATTTTGTGAGAAAAAGAAAAAAGGACACATTCAATGTAATAATTATGTAGCTGTGGGTGTTAAAGCATTGCCAGCATAATGAAAATTCTGCTAGTCTTAACAACAGAGCTTCCAGCATATTAAGCATCATGAGAGTGAGTTTTCATATGTGAACAGTTTACCTTCTACAAAGATGACATTAACGTTGAGAATCAGAATGAACTCCCAAACGTGCGGCATTCTTCATTTAGTCCATCAGGTAATAATTAACTTGATAACACTTGGTCAAAGTCTGAAGCGTCATTCCCCGCGAGCGAAGCTGACTCGCGCGCTCCCGTCACTCTCAAATATGATGAGCATCGTCCTCTCCAAAAGATGCGACCCACCGCGCAGATTTACTATGAAATTTACTAAACGATAGATCACTTGACAGTTCACAGCGTAGAAACTTGAAAGTCCATACACCGACCTCTCGCCTGCTATCACAAAAACCAAATTACACCAACCCAATACCTTTATTTATCCTTGTTTGTGCTGTTAGGTTAGTCGTGGATGGTGTTTGCGGCGTTACCTGACAGAGCGCGCGGATCTGAGGTTTAGCGCGTGCTAATCCCCCTGCAGGCGGGGCTCGCGCTCCCGTGACGCTCGCTTGAGAATGCGGTTAGTTTTGACATCTATTCAAACTCTAATGCAATTACTTTCCTGGTAGTGTGAGGCTTAACAGGATTAGAAATGATCACATTCCTGTTCATTACTTACAAAATTAGCAACACGAGCGCGTATTAAAGAAAAAACATGTTTACACTTTATTTATAACGCAGATGTGAGAGCTAGGCTAATTAACCCACACGACTAAAAAAAAAACTTTACCTGTGTAGATTGCAGGCCCGTTGACACGAGAGCTCAGGGCTTATTTTCAACAAATTAACGTTTAAGATATACATGTAAACAAATCTGTATTTGTAATCAACGTACTGTATTTATTAAAACGTTTAAAACATAAATATATCACGGTTAAAAAAACATCCACAAAATCTTTTTTATAAAAATTTAATTGCCATCATAAAGACCCACAACACAATATCTAAAATATGACAATGAAATTCCCTAACAAGAATCAGAACATGGAACATATAGGCTAAGGCGCATCACCCCAGAGAAGAGCTAAAACTGGCTGAATTTGAGATTAGATCTCGTCCCAATTGCATAGGCGATGAATATTCTTCTGTGTTTACGGTTTCGTGTATAACGATTCTCATTCGGTAGCTGTTCATGTTTTTTTTTTTTTTTTTTTTTTTCTCACTGTTTCACAAAAACGTGACCTGATGCAAGATAAAAATATATAAAGCAAGAACCGAATGAGAAGGATGAAATAGTGAGTCATGACTGGGCAACAGATTTTAGCACTATATCGAAAACCTGAAGAGAAAATGCTATTTTCAGTCAGGGCACATAACAATAAAATCCTCACACAGATAATAAGAATGAAAATCAAAATACACAGTTCAACAGTAAGTTCACACGTACACTGAATTTACATTCACATTCATTGATGTTTAAAGGTTTGGTTTTCTGTATTCTATATGAACTTAGTGACAAATGTAAAAAACAACAATAAAAACATTGTTATCTTTTTGTCAAAACGAATCTTTCATTTGTGGTGGGGAAAAATCTGAACTGCTAAACCAGCCAGAAAACCCTTCTTGTTGAGCCCTCCAGCATACATGTATTCAGTAGAAAAACAGTAATAAAATAAACATCAAAACATTAATCTCACACACAGTCTTCTGTATAACCAGTTCATCAGGCAGTTTTAAATGAACATCTTCAATTGTAGGCCTATCAGATATCCGGATGAAGTTCCAATAAAATCAGGTAGAGTTGCGTTGATTTGGATAATAAACGTCTGTAAACGTTTCACTTTTCACTGTCTAGAAGAGACAGTTTGAGAGTGCACTCATCAGTAGTACTGTTTCTTTTCAGTCCAGTTTGTGATCCAGTGTTTCTTCTTGTTCATTGAATCCACAACCAAAAAGCCCTGGTTTACCTGGTACTGTTCCTTCTTACAAATCTTCACGCCTTGGTATTTGGGCATAGTTCGGAAGTAGGCAGCCCGCTTAAAAAAGCCACTCTGCAAGAAGACATAAGAAAAAGAGCATTGTGAGCAAGGCGAACATCTTACCAGAGCATGCATGCATTCAGAGAAGCTTTAAGAAATCTAAGATTGACTGAAGTAGATTACAAGATTAACATTATATAGCAACTGAGAGAAAGCATTCTGTAAATTCAAGTGAAATTATGAAGAGAGCAAATTATTATGACATAAAGAGTCTGTAAAAATGTGTGATAAATTCAGCAGCAGATTGTGAATAGGAAAGGAAAGCTTGTTATCTGTAAGAGAAGATGGGATCAGAAGGAATTTGTTGCCTCAGTTGAAAGCAAGCCCTCAAACGGCAAAAAAGAAAACAATGTGGTAACGCAGAAGTTATTAGTCATGTCAATGCAAGAAAAGGCGTTTTGAAGTTGGATTAAAGCAATATACAGTTCATGTTAAGACATCATTCTATCTCCAAGATAGCAGCATCCCAAGCCCGAGGACATAACAAAGAGCCTCACATATCAATTTGTTTCAGAAAAAAAAAAAACAACCTCTAGTGTTTTTGAGAGCAATGATGAGAGTCAAAAACAGACGAGGGAAGAGTTGTGTCTCAAAAGGGAAGAGGAAAGACAGTATTAGTGGAGCTTCCATGGAATACATTATTGTTAATCAAGCCGAGCAGAGCCGTTGGCTGTGACACCTACAAACTTGCTATTTGTGTCAGAGGCCCACAAAGGCCAGGGAACCTCAGTCCTCCTCTGTAAGGCGATCATTTTCTGATGGCTGTGTTTTCATTTCTGCTTTCTGGGCCTTGGCCTCATAAAGCTCTCTGGTGTTGGCTCTCTTGAAGAAACCACACTGGGGAACAGGATTCAGATATGAGCAATCAAACAAAGCACAAGTCATGTGACCTAGGCTTGAATCAACTGTGCTCTTCTGGTATATATCAAGCTTTATCTACTTCACGGTAAAAATGTTCAAAGTAAAAAATAGAATACATGAAATTTGACTGCAAAACACCGTAAAAATGTGTACAAAAAATCATTTATGCTGAAAACAGATATTCTATTTAACAAGAACATACACATACTTTCACAATATAATGTGGTTAAATGAATATTTTCTATTTTTTTTTTCTATAGATTTTGTGTGTAACATTTTACTTATGAGTTTATAGGCACCAAAAATGTTGGATGATTAATATGTGTTGCTGCTCCTCTCAAGGTGGAGTTAATAACAAACTTCACACTTGTTTCTGGCGTTAAAGCACAATGCGATAAAATAAAGTTGTTGTTTGTGTGACTCCAACCAGAGTAATGTGTAGATGTGAGAAGACTTACAAAATGATTACAAGTTTTACAAAAAGTTTCTCACCTTCCACAGAAAAATGACAATCAGGCCCAGCAGAATCACTCCAGCCAGCACAGACACAATGATTATCCACAGAGGCATTTCATACGGAAGCTCTTCTGACCCTGCGGGGTCTATATCTACTGTAAACTAAACAGAGAAAAGATGTTTACTGTCATTAATCTCTAATGCACCAGAAAACGTATACAGGAAAATTTGCCTCATTTTAATAATTATTTGATTTTCCCTCACTTATGCTAAATGTATGCAAGAGAGAGTTCCCGATAGAAGAGGAAACTTGTAGATGTTGAGTTTGTACCTCGCGGGTGTAATGGCTCATCTTGATGGTTTGTTTGTCTGTTTTTAGACTCAGTGTGGCACTACCAAACACACGTACTCTTACAGCATTGTATTCCTGTAAACAGAGCAGCACAAATGTTATTTTCAGGACTTCAGAATGAGTATCACGTAAAGTAAGGGTTTTCAAACCCTTCCTGGAGCTTCCCCATGCAGCATGGGGAATGATTTCCATTAGTGTTGGGCGATATGCTCCATTTTCATATCGTCCTATCGTCAGCCTGTGAGATCGGCGATACACGATAGTATCGTGAGGGGGCGGGGCTAACATTTGATTATTAACTTGATTATTTAGCCTACTCATTAATTTGCTTGTTTTATTAGCCTACTTCGTTTTATATACGAGAATCTTTTTTCTATTTTGCTAGCAAAGGTGGAGTGTTTATTAATAGGATCAGGTTATAAAAAGAGATCCTAATCCTTTTGTTTGTCAACGGGAAATTTACGGACACATTAGCCTATCCTCATGCCGTTACATGCAGCATTTTGACTAGGGTCTATTTCTGCACGAGATGAAAACATGTTTTAATAATTTCTTGGGTCAGAAAAAGTCGGAGTTTGCGATATGTGCCCGTACCAGTGCGCTCTCTGCGCACTTCAGTAAGCACGAAGTACGCGGGTTAATGTGTTTTAAATGCCGGGAGAAACAAGAGCAAGGGCCAAACGTCCAGCTGAGTCGATCGGTTTATACTTATACTTATGACTTGACTCTGATAAAGGAAACGTTTACATGACCACATGCATTGTCAAGTTTATTCAACATAATCAGGTTAAGAAAGTCGTCGCATGTAAACGCGCTCAATCTCTGAAAGTGAAAGTAAAAACGGACTGCTTTCGGCATCTGCATTAACGCCGCGTTCCCTCAGAGACGACGATGATAACGGTAACTATAATACTATTTTAGTGATATTATTATTAATACTATTTAGTAATTGTATTGTTTTTAGTGTTAGTGTCATTAAACGTTTTGTTAATGTGTTACGGAAACAAATACTGACGAACAACGATGCCGTTTTCATCTTGGATCTGTAGGAAATTGAATTTTGCGTCTGTTAAAACGAGCACACTTGATAATTTGTGAATGGATCACCTTGCAATTAAATTTTGATGTGGGATGTTTTTTAGTCTGTTTTAAAAACATTCTCTTAGAGGAGTCCTCATTAGTGCGTGTGTTGTTGCAATTGTTATGAGGTGATGTCGTTGTAAATTTAGGCAAGGCAAATTGATTGTAGTTCCTAATATTCATTTAATAACAATACTAGCTTTATAATAATAATAATAGGCCTAATAATAATAATAATTTAATACATTATGGTAAAACGAGCCAATTATCGTATTGATATCGTCAAAGGCATCTGCCATCGGCGATATGTCAGACTATCGTCGATACACGATACTATCGTCTATCGGCACAACCCTAATTTCCATAATGATTTTTTAAATTGGAATATGATCAAAGATTGTGCATGTGATTATCCAATAATTGTGCAAAATAGAACATTTTTACTCTATTCAAATGAGTGAATCGGTGACTTGAATAAAGATTAGTTCATTTGGCTGAATGAGAGACTCTGTAAAATGATCTGATTTTCCCATCATCACACATGTTGGACACACTCAGCTCAGGTCATGGAGTGGTCTACTAATCAGCTGGTGACTTAATTAATCTGGACTAAATAGAGGACACATCCAAAATGTGCAGTGCTGGAGAGGATCCAGGAACAGTTCATGTTAAAACCCCTTACAGGGCTGCGTTTCCCAAAAGTCTTGTTTCTGCAATCTACTTAGGCCAATGATTTCCTTTTAGGAAATGCAGCACTGTGCAGTAACATCTGGTAAATATTAAAGTGTCGGTAAAATGAACGCAAATAAGTCATTTTAACATTATTCAATGTATTTCACACGGTAGATCATAATTGCATTTTAAATTTGTACATACCAAAAAGCATTTGAAAGTGTAGTTAAAAATGTCTGATCATCAAGGTTGATATTATAATGTTAATCTTGTAGTATAATTAACAGTATATACATAACATAAATATGTATATATATATATAAAGCGAGTAATCAGCAATGACACATTAAATTGTTCATAAGTGACAGTAGAGACCTTTAAAATGTTATAAAATATCGTTGTTCTATTAAAATTTCTCTTTTTCATTCTTTATTATATCGAGAATATTAATTTCCAGCATATACACACACACACTCACACACACAAACACACACGTGTAGGGGTTAAATTGGGCCAGGGGTTAAAAGTTTTTTTTTTCTTACTAATTCAAGTAATAATTCATAAGCATTGTGTTTTATGGCATTAAATAAAGTGCATCAAGTGAATTACAGCAGTGGTAGCCATAAAATATAATTCTGCAGAAAAAAAACTTGAACACAAAAAAATATGATTGTGCACACAAATCAGCATGTTCTAAGCATTTTACGAGGAGAAATAACAAAACTGCAAGTCCTGACAGGTCTCACACGGCGCCTACTGAAACCATAGACAGTAAAAGAAATGGACAGCGACCCCATAGACTTCAACAGAGAAAAGTGAAGTCAATTAGAAGCACTGCGCAGGCTCAAACTGAGCTTGATGACGTAGATGTGACGTGAGCAACCTGTCTCACAGTTGAATCTGAATCATTCCCTTCTGAATCTTGCAGAGACGGAGAGTATTAGCTGTCCATGAGCAGCAGCAGGAGCAACTTTATGACTTTCTATGATTCTTCTCCCTTGACTTTATGCCTCCACGTCCCCCCGATTGCCCGCGAGCTTCTCCTCCTGTCTAATCCAGCCCCCCTCAAAAAAACAAATAACCATTTCCTACCCTCCACACTATCTCTATACTCCAATAAACGTTTTACTGTATTATCTACCCTTTCTATATTTGTTTAACTGTGTTATAATTTCTTTTCTTTCTTGATTAAATTTCCTGCACTGTGCTATTGGACTATACTATACCCAATTCTCAACCTACTTATTATCACCTGCTCTTTTCTCTTTGCTCCCCTACTTGATATACTTTGAATTTCAAATAAATGTCTCCCTTTTGTTGCATTATCCCAACTTTCTTGCCATTGTTGATTTACACTTCTCCACACTATGCTTTCCCCTCTGATTTTGATAATTTAATATTGACTTCAACACTTTATCTGCTTGCTCATTGAATTACTTCCTGAGTTACCAAGTGTGCAGGGACCCACATAAATATGTCTTCATGCTTACTAAAGTTGATACAGAGTCACTACATATTAATATTTTGGTAACACTTTACGGTAAGGGTACATGAATTATCATGAATTCGTGTATAAATTAATGCATGAATTATGCATTCATTCATGCATTAATATCTCATGAATCATCAGGAACTAACACAAGTTCAACATTTTTCATTCATGACTTCATGAATGAACAACACCCTAATTAAAACATTAACTAAGATATGCACATCACCATGAATTATGATTTATTACGCATGATCATGATGTTTTCTTTGTTCTTTGTCTAGGTCAGTGACCTAGTCACTACTTTAGTTAAGGGTGTTTACTCAACACATGATGAAGTCATTAATAGATTAATGCTTAGTTAATGACAGACACCATAATAGACCAATCACAGCTCATAGCACACACATTCTGTAAATCAAATACAGAAGTCATCATTAACTAAGCATTATCTATCAATGACTTCATCATGTGTGTGGCCCCTTAACTAAAATGGTGACTAGGTCCTTTGAAACACCGATGAACAATGTGCTATTGAAAGGTGGCATAAATGTGAACAAAGAAAACATCATGATCATGCGTAATAAATCATAATTCATGATGATGTGCTCATCTTAGTTAATGTTTTAATTAAGGAGCTGTTCATTCATGAAGTCATGAATGAAAAACGTTGAACTTGTGTTAGTTCCTGATGATTCATGAGATATGAATGCATGAATGAATGCATAATTCATGCATTAACTTATACATGAATTCATGATAATTCATGCACCCTTACCGTAAAGTGTTACCAATATTTCTTTATCACTACTTTGTTCTGTCCATTCCAATGCCATCAATATGGCAAACATTTCAACCACAAATACACTCAGACAATCCGATGATCTTACTAATTTCCACCTTCTATAGTATCTAGGAATAACAGCTGCAGACCCTGTTGCCTCTCTTTGCATATCCTTTGGCCCATCTGTAAAAATCTGAATACTTTCCTTATACTTACATTCCTTGTAACTATAATATACACTATTTAAATCAGCATTTTTATTATTACGTTTAATAAGTTGCTCTAAATCTACACATGGTATTTCTAATTCCCATAGGATAGGTCTGATACGCTCACCACATTTGCGCCAAACTCTTTATCATAAACCCTGTATCTTTTGCCATTTGATCCAACACCCATTAGATTCAGTTTAATTAGCAATCCTTCCTTCCATAACTTATCAATATGCCTTTTCCACATCGAAAAATACTGCAACCATTGTCTCTTTGTTTATTTGAGTTTTTCTTAGGAGAAGCACTTCCTGCTCAGCTAGTCTTCAGACGCTCTTGCTTACTGCTCCGCGCTTTGCTCTATCGCTTTTATATTTTTTTAATCGCTCCATCGCTTTTATATTTTCCTTTTATCACCTAATTTTTACTTCAGAAAATCAGCACAGTACTCAAACGCAGAATTATTTTCTCTGATCATACATTCTGGGGCAAACACAACTGCCTACATTCTAAAGGATAAGAGAAAATGCCTCTTCTGGAATCTACTGTACTTGCTACACTAACTGCCAGAGACTTTTACAAAGGATTGCAGAACTTGAAACAAATTTGGGTCCACCAAACCAGATGGAACACACAACAGAACTTCGTCATGGATGCCCTCAGCATACAGCCGGTGAGTCCCATGAATCTGAGTGTAGAGAAACAAGCCGATCGACTTACAAACCGATGGAACAAACAGGGAGGGAGACCCAAAGGCACTCAAGACATCAGATTGTATTGCAGCTAGACTGGAGCTACAGCTAAGAGATCATCCAGCCTCTGGTTCCTTGTGTTCCTGCCT